CCTTTTTTCTAATATCATTCCAGGCTCATACCCAGGGTCCATCACAGAAATCTCTTCACCAGTTGCCCCAATATTGCTAAAGCACTCACTGCAATCCATCATAGTTCCTGCTTTTCACTACAAGAACTGGCATTGCAACAATCCTAAGCTTTTTGGGGGTGGGGGTGGGGGGTATTGGTGATCGAACTCATGACCTCACACTTGCCAGGCAGGCGCTTATGCCACTGAGCTAAATCCCTGGCCCCATGAAGAATCCTAAGCTTTAAGTGCTTAAGGATAAAGGTCAGTGGCCTCTTTTGCTTCTATAACTTTTGTAAAAGTCTCATTTCTTCATATTCACTGGACTTGATTTCTGGGAATCCTGAGTTTTAAAACATTTCAGTGAGCACATCCCAGCAACCCTCCATAAAACCAACCCTCTTACCAAGACTGCATACAGTCATAGGTAGTCCCTCCAAGTCCTGGCTATAGGACATATGTGATGTCAACTGTGGCCACGCTCCTCTGAAAGGCACTTCAGTGTGTCTCTGCACTCTCCGGGATTCTAAATCCTGGAGAAAAGTACCCACTTTTTTCCTAAGTTAGGCCTAGGAAAGCCAACCCATGGCAAATGGCAAGGTGATAAATCTTATTTCCGTGACTCATGTATAGACAGCTACTGGAAGATCAAGGTGGTGTTCCTCATGGTCTAGGTGGAGTATCACAAGGCATTTGTTCACACAGGCCCAATAAATACTCCACAGAGCAAATAATTTTATTTGCCCCACTTATAATTACCAATGTTTTAAAATCTGACTTGATTATTTTACCTCTGAATAGAGTCAGTATGACTCTCAAACCCATTTCTTCCCTCACTGACCTAATGACCTAGTGTCAATTCAAGGTGTCAATTTTTTTAATTTTTTATTTATTTTTTGTACTGGGGATTGAACCCAGGTCTTTACACGGAGCTACACCAGCAATCCTTTTTTATTTGTTATTTTGAGACAGCCACTTGCTAAGTTTCCAAGTCGCTCAGGCTGGGCTCAAACTTGTGACACTCTTGCCTTAGACTCCAAGAGTACTGAGCTTACAGGTGTGTGTCTCCACATCCAGCTAACTTTGGTCACCTTGCATAAAATTGCTATCGCATCTACCTACTCCACTTTCTGGTATCTCTGTCTTCCTACCTACTCCACTCCCCATATTGTAACCAGTTTTTCTAAACTTGTAATCTGATCACATCGTGACCTTGCTTAAAATTCTCCAGAGGAGGCCCATCTCCATTGTCCAATGCCCGAACGCAGTAACATGCATGGCCTATGAGGGTGGCTTTGCCGCATGACTTACATTCCAACCTCATTTTCTGCCATTTCTTAAACACAACTACAATTAAGCCCATACTATTTGCCACTCCCTGATTAGAAAGTACTCAGGCTTCTACTTTAACATAGTTTATTTCCTTTGGTGGGGTGTCTTTGTTCTATCCTCGAAGAGGCAGGAGTACTATAATGGTTAACTTGATTGACTTGATTAGTAAAGCACCCTTTTAGGTGAGGGATGGAGTGTGAACTTGGGGACTATACGCAGCCTCCGCTCCTTCCTTTCTAGCTCCTTCCCTTCTAGCTCCTTCCCTGCTCTCAGCTTCCTGGCTGCCATGAGATAAGGAACTTTCCCCCTCTATGGCCTACCACCAGGATATTTCTGCCCTGGGAACCTATGAACTGCACCCTCTGAAATCATGAGCCAAAAATACATTTTCCTTCTTTAAGTTGTGTATGTCAGGTATTTTGTTACAGAAACAGAATGCTGACTGGTACAAGTACTTTGGTCTCCCTATAAGGTACGTCAACTCAAATATTTTCTTATCTGCCAGGCTTTCTCTGTTTCCCCAGCAGTGCCATTATCACTCTCTTTCACACTACCATTGCTCTTACGTCCATTTTGCAATACCACTCAGAGCTCTCTACAATCACTGTTTGTTGCCTACTTGTCTCACTGATGGAGAGTTCCCTGGGAGCAGAGAACTGGGAGCGACCTGGTCTTTGTATGTCTGAATTCTAAACATGAGTAAATCAATTTTAAAAAGGAGGTGATTTGTACTTATGCCTCAAACAGCACTAAATGTAGCTGGTACCAATGTGCAAAGATTGAAAAAAACAGGAGAAAATCAAAAACAAACCAAAAAAAAAAGTAAAAGTTCATCAGCATGAAATATGATACGAAGACCCACAGTGCCAAGTCAGAATGGATTTGAAGCTGAGAATACCACAGACAGACAAGTTAAAAAACAAACAAAAAAAAAACTCCATTCAAAACCAATTCCAAAAGCGTCAGAAGTTGGTCATGGACAGTGGCAGAGGTTCTGAGGCACATTCAGAGATCAATCACCGCATCTGAGATCAGAAATGAGTCATGAGTCACGAGTGTTTCCAGCTCCCCCACCCCCTTTGAGGTCCTTGTGTTTTCTCTAGATATCTTCTGGTTGCTTATGTGTTCTTGAGTTCATTGCAGGACCCTTGTTATATAAACAAGGCTGCTTATTGCTTCTGTGTTCTTCGCAGAACGCGAAGAATGTCAATGAATTTTGGCTTCCAAAAAGTTACTGTGACTATTTTAGGCATGAGATCCAGGATCCCTAGAACTGTGTAAGGCAATATCTTGTCCTATTCCCCAACCTGGAACTGGACCTCAAAGGCATTACTTCCTATTAAAAAAAAAAAATGATCTCAAATACCATATCCTACTTTTCTCCCCCTCTGATACCATTCTCAATGTACCATGACTTTAGTGTGAACCTGTTTGCCTTTCCCTACTCTTATCACCTTGTAAATGTAATTTATTTACTCAGCATGCATAACTGTTGGAACTGTTAGGAAAGAAAAGTAACCCATTCCCAGTACCTTTACTCACCAGTACCATATTCTACGTGGTTTGTACATATTATCTTTATGCAATCTCCACAACTCTATAAGGTAGGTATTATTAAATATTATTATTCACATGTCAAACATTAGGAAAGATGAAAACACCACAAGATTAAGGTGAAACATAAGATGGTTAATAATCCCATGGCTTTGCATTGAGTGCTAAAGAAAGAATTCTGATCTATACTTGTCACAATCTAAATGCCATCTTCTTTCCACGGTACTATTCTCTCTCTAAGCCCTTTTAGTTGAATACAACCCTAAATAAAGTATCAAAATCCAAGATGGAATGACAAAGCTAAGCAGCCCAGATATAAAGAGCAACCACCAAGAGACGTAAAAAATATATATATGTATATATATGAATGCACAGTGAAGGGAGGAAAAGGTAAGACAACTATCCTGGCCCCTATTTGCAAACAGACCCTGTAGTCAGGAGCTGGCTGACCTGAGTTGTCAGTTTTAACCTTAGTACATCTCCCTACCAGGTAAAAAGCCCAATTAAGCCTCAACTACTCAGCTCTCTGGACAATAGCCCAGGAATCACTGAATGGAGGGTGGTGACTTAAAAAACAAAAGTGCTGACAGAGTCAGAGTAAGCAGGACAAGAAAAGGTCAGGTCTAGGAGATCCCAGACTCAGAGCCCACCACACTGCCCACTCCCCAAGGGTAAGCTGGAAGACTCCAGAGACCAGCAGCTTCGGTCCAAGCAGCAGAAACCCACATCACCCCATAGATATCAAGGACCTTCTCATACCTTGGACTGAGTTCTCTCTCCTAGCCTAGAAATAGAGACACTTGTAATTTAAGCATTTTTACTTGCTGTATTTCCTATTTTTATTCCATGCTGGTTTTATCAAACATAGTATATCAGCTACACATGCCTCATATAGCTAGCAATAGTCTTGGTTTTTCCCATGTTTCTGGCATGTTTCTGGAATACCATAACAGCTCAGAGCACACTGACAGCTACGGAATTGTTTAGCACCCCTCAGTGTAACAGGACAGAGGTCCCATAGCCTTTGAAAAAGGCTACCTCAACGCTCTATCAGAGAGGAAGCCATTCTTCCGTAACTGTATTTTATTTTATTTTACAGCCACCTGAAAAATAAAATAGAAAACTGGTGAGCATGTTTATCTATGATCAGTGCCATAGTCAGTGGGCTCTGTAATCAGAAAATGGTCTCACCCATTAAACATTTTGGTGTATAGCCCACGGCATTCCTACAAGCAAACTAGCCAGAGATACTGTTAACATTGCTTGATTTGTATCATCATGGAAAATTCAAGAGTAAGGAGCAGTCTTACTAAACAGAACATCAAAAGCCTCTTCCCCTATGTAAGGAATTCTGTGTGTCTACACACACTAGTGTATGTTGTGCCATCCTTTGAAGTGGCTGGAGGGATATGCAGAAACACCTATGCTGGCCTGGAAGAAACACAACAGTTTCCTGAGAGAATCAGAAGAAGACACTTACAGGAAAACACACAGACCAAAACCATAGGCTTGGGGACTTAAATACAGACAGGTACATTCAAAGCCCTCTGCAAAGAACACAGAAGCAATAGGCAGCCCAGATAAACAAAGAACACATAAGCGACCAGAAGATATCTAGAGAAAACACAAGGACCTCAAAGCGGGCGGGGGAGCTGGAGACACCCGTGACCATCAGGACAGGTAACCCTCAGGAACAGCACGGACCCTTGCAGGCCTGGAAGTAAACAGAGGCTGGCAAACCCAGGAACTGTGCAAGCGTAAGATGAGTGCAGACAGAAAGCAGAGCAGCAGCAGGGTCCCCCGGGACGCAGGTGAGGCGCCCTGCGGGGCGCGGGGCTACAAACCCCGGGGTGGGGGGAGCTCCCAGGCTGACCCCGCTGCGCCCCAGCCTGCGATCGCGGCCCGGACGCCGGGCCTGGCAGCGCCGCTGGGCCGCCGAGCGTGCGCTCCGCCGGAGGCAGGCGCCCAGGGCCGCCCCTCCCCCGGGAAGGTGTGTCCGCTTTCCTCACCTGAAACTTCCTCGGCCCCGCCGATCCCGCCCTCCCGTCCGTCCGGGCGGCAGGGGCGGGCCGCGGGTGGGGCGCTGGGGTGGCCGGGCCTGGCTGGGGACGGCGGCCGGCGCCCGCGGGACCTGGAGGGGACTGGCCCGGGCAGCATGTGACGCCGGCCAGGTGGGTGCCCACCTCCCTCGTGCGCCCTGGGCTCGGGCGGCCGCGGAGCCCGGCGGAGGTAAGGCTGCGACGGGAAGGAAGAGGAAACTAGGCCTCCCCGGGGACCAGCCCCGGCCAGGTCCCGGGGCGCAGGCTCCGGAAATGGGGGGCTGGGCCGATGCGCAGAGCTCTGGGAGAGGGCTGAGTACCCCGGCCTGCTTTTGTCTGAAAACTTCGCTCCCAACCGGGTCCCCGCCTTGGAAATGGGCACCCTGCCCCCACGAGGTTCCGGGGCCAATAATCAGGACTCTCTTTCTTCAGAGTCTGGGCCCTGGGGAAAACGAACCCCTATAATAAGGCGCAGCTGAGATTCCCTTTCCACAGTGCCCCTTACCTGGAAATGTGTTATCCTCTTCTCTTTCTTAGCCGGGCCTGGGCCTTCCTGCATTATTTTCCTGGCATTTGCATTTGTGTCTCTCTGTTCCCACTTCTTTTCCCTCCTAGCCAGCGCTCTTTAACCTGTAACCCTGCCTGCCCTGCCCCCCGCTGTATTTGCCCATATATGGGAGCTTTGCAAAGCGCTGGGGTAGAGGCGGTGGGAAGGCGGCTGTTAGTGCTGGGGGCCGAGCGAGGTGCTGGCACCCAAGTTGGAGCCCTGTTTCTGAGCATCATGTGTAAGGAAGTGCCTTCCTGAAGGACGGGCCTTGGAAGAGCGCCTCCGGACTCCACTTGTGTTCACCTCTCGGGCTCCTTCAACCCCTTCCTAGGTCTTGGATTCCCAGGACAGATTTATCCTCTTTCCTAGTTGCTGGGAATGAACTTTGACCCCGACTCTTGTCATTCAAGGGGGCAGGGCACACCAGACCGACTAGGGCGAGAGGACTGGTTTTGCTTTCAACTTCTTTCTTCCGCTGCCTTCCAGCTGCACTCCAAGCCCTGCATCCTTGTCCCACTCCAGAAACCCCAGTGTCCAGCAGCACAACCAACTGTGAAGCCTCTGCCCAGACTTCCTGGAGAATGAAAAGGCTCCCAGCTGTGACCCTAGTGAGATGGTCATGGTCTTTAGCCAGGCTGTGGGTCTGAAGCCAGGGTGGCTCCTCAGGGGCCTAGAAGGGAGGCAGGGTGCCTGTCCAGCATGAGGGCACGGATCAGGAGAAATGAATGCCCTGGCCCTAGTCAGAAGGAGAGAGATGTCAGGCGGAATTACAGGAATCCTTCTTTTCCAAAGAATACAGTGATTTTGGTTATAGTCCAGAGCATCTACATAGAGTTTTCTAATGTGTCGGGCTTCTATCACGCTGACTGTCTGAGGCTTTCTGTGGCCACATTACCTACTGTGTCTGTGGGACAGACAGGAAGACGTCATTCTTGGTGTCTGGAATGGTCAGTCACAGTGTGGTGTGGATGAGGTCGGGTTGTGCGTGGGATCATGGGTTGAATGGGAGCTGAATTACTTAAGGATTGGTGGCATAGACCCAAAGAGCTGACTACGGCGTCTGGGGCCCCCACAGTATGTGTGGGGAAAAAAGAAGCCAGCCACTACAGTTCTCACAATGAGCCAGAACAAGGTCAGCTATGTAAGGACACAGAAATGTCAGGGACACATTATCTGTGTGAATGGCACTAGGGTGGTAAGCGCACTTGTAGCAGAAGTCAGCATCACCACTAATAATGATGTCACATGAAGCTATCTGGTCTGCCAAGCAGTAGATGGTGTGTTGTTTTCAGACAAGGAATAGGTTAAAAAATATTTATTACTATACAGCTTTTCTGGATTGGCAGAGCTTTCCTACAGTAGATGGAACAGCAGTCTTAGCAATTAACGGCCCAGGAAACTGCCCTTTGATAGGTTTGTGGCATTAGAGGTATAAATGTCAAAAGGTGGGTGAAGTTGTATTAGTGGTCTGATTTTCTAAGTCAAACTAAGAATATATCTTCGATTAGGGTAAGAGGGTATTTTCCTAAAGGAGATAGACTGTAGAAGATACAATATAAATGAAGTATTACAATCTCAAGAGTATTTCAGCGATTCGTGTTTCCGAGTCAGAACTTTCTAGTTGAAATTGACATTGCTGGGAAATCCTGAAAGTATGGTCAGGGCAAGGGAATATATATATATATATATAGCCTTTGACATCACTTCAAAAGCGTGACAAAGGATGGGGCATCTTTGGAATACAGTTTTACCTCTGGTGATTAAAACTGAGAGCCAAGTACTGAGGGCCTGTAAGGGAGAGAGAAGTTCCGTGCACACTGCTATGCACTGACAGGCTTTGTGTCCTAAGAAGTCACACATGACTGGGGAGGCGCGTACCTGGCCTTCCTCTGGTCTGGACGTAGGCCAGCTCACCGTGATGCCATACACTGCCTTTGCCTGGGCCTGGGTAATGGAGGCAATGGGGTGTTTGTATTATAGTGGCCCAGGTTTTGTAGTGGGTTCTGTAGGGGTAGGTACCCCTTTCTGATTTTTTTTGTGAATAAGACCATATTCTTCAACTTCCTTTAGCTTTGTCACATTCTAGCTGTGTCATGCCTGATAATACAAGATCAAAGGCTGGGACTCTGGGGTATGTTCTCCCTTTGGGGTTGAGAAGTTCCCAAGCACAGATATTTCCAACTGGATGAAGACATAGATGGTGTTCAAGGAGGTACAAACGGTATTAAAGGGATTTCAGGAGACAGACATGCTCTCTTATGACTAGATTGTACCTAAAATATCCTGGGAGGATATGTACATATAGAGAGGGCTCAGGGACTAATTACTTTGAGGATATGGTAATAAATGCGTGTGCAGGGATATGGCCTGGACAGTACAGTTGTGGGTGAGGGGAGATGAGAGTTAGTCACGTGGGCTCCCTCAGCAGATAGGAGGCAAGTTTCAGAAAGTGTCTACAGTGAGCAAGTATATCCTTTAACATACGGTGGAGAAATAGTGTGGAATCACAGTATCACTTACCATATTTTACACTAAAGGGACAGACACAGGACAAGTCACATACTATAAGTTAACTGGAAAGGGACATAAAAGTCTTTCAACATTGGTACACTGATGTCAGACCTGTCTCTTTGCCCCAGATAGATGGTATCTTTGCCTGTGGGATGGCCAGGAACTTGTTGCACCCTCCATCTGTAGAGTAGCTGAAGACCTGCCTGTTCGGTTATGTCAGATTGCATATGCTAGGGCGGCTCATTTGTGTATGAGCGTGTGTGTGTGCACGCGGGTGTGTACTACGTGCAATGGTTGAACAGACCGATAAGCATCCTGATTAGGTAAGCTTTTACTTCTTCCACTTTAAATTTGGACCACAATGCCGGGTCAGGTGCACCGTAAGGTCTATAGCACCTAGGGTCTTCTCTTGACTGTGATCAGCCAGGTTTCTAACAGCTGGATGCCTGGGTGCTCAGGTCAAGTGATTTTGTTTCTGATCCAACTATCCCATTTGCTTAGAAAACCTGAGCAAGTGTCTAGGGTCTTTGACCTTTAGTTTCCTCATCTGCAAATTGAACCAAGTTTTCTGTGTTGGTAAAGGTCCCTGAAGAAGTTTATAAGTCCTGTATTCTTTACACTTATTCTCTTCCAGGTCAATGTGTACCATTTATGAGACCCTCAAAGATCACAGTAAGCTTTGTTGTTGCTTTACTTCATCTCATTAGAACCATGCAGGTCATGCTTTCTCTCTTTTAAGAATAAGAGAAGTGATGTTCAAACAGGTTTAATGCTCTCTGTAGTTGTTTTGAAAGTAGCAAAGATTCAAACAAGGTAGAACTGAAACTCAAACCACAGTTTTCACTCTGCAGTTTTCCTTCAGGCAGACATCCTTGTTCTGAGGGCTAGGTCATCTTCTGGCAGAGGGGATTGCACTTCCCACATGGAAGAGCCTCTGTGATTTATCCTGGGAAAGAGATATTGAGCCTGTAACAATGAGTACAATCTGAATTTGAGAAGTAAAGAATCCCCTGGAGCAGAAGAGGATTCCAGGCAGAGGAACAGGGCCAGTAAAGGTTCCAGTGCAGAGGACCTACAGGCTGGGGTGGGCAGGTGCCAACAGGTGGAGACCAGGGCTGCTGGAGAAAAAGGCAGAACCAGCTGTGCCAGGTGGATAACCAAACCATGCTACGTATATAGATTTTACCTCAAGGGTGGCCAGAGGCTACTGAAGAGTTTAATCTAGAAGTGATGTTTTAAAGATCACAGAGATCTCTGTGGAGAATGAACTGGAATCCAGTAAGTTGCACTGAGGCGAGTGGCCAGACTGTGACCCAGGTATACTGGCCTGTGTGAGAACACAGCGTGTACTAGATTCCAGCCATGAAGAGCACAATAGTGGACAATCCTGAAAGGTATCTAGCACATGGGTCAATAGGATTTGGTGATTAAGTATGGCAAATCTGGGCTGGAAGGAAAACAAAAGTTTTACTCTTTAAGTGAAATTCATGTTATTTATTTTTGAGACACAGTCTCACTAGTTGCCCATGTAGCCTGGGCTTAAAATTAATGTCCTCCTACCTCAGCCTTCCCGTAGGCTGGGATTGCAGGCATACACCTCCACACCTGGCTTATATAAAGTATATTTATGGAGCACTTGGTGTAGACCAAGGTATAGAAAACTAAACAAGACAGATGTAGTTCTTAGTCTCATGAAGCTTATCATCTCTTGGTTGAAATAGAGGGTAATTCCAAATACATACAGAATTATATAGTTATCATTGTCTAAATGATACAGAGGGAAAGGGAAGTGAATTGCAGTTGGTAATTTCTTCAAAGAGAAGAACACTTTAACCCACTGAGAGTGTTGGAAATCTCAAGGGTAAATCAGAAAATTGTAATTGTGGGTAGTGCTGAATACTGAGGATGGTGGAAGATGTTGGGAGATGGTTCTGGGGGAAGCAGGTTGGAGGCAGCTGGGTTGTGAGGACAGTAGGCACAAATCCTGCTAGACATTTGAAAGATAGGAAAGATGTAGGAATCCTTAAGTACTGATGGAGAGATTCGAGTTGAGAAATAAAGGCATGACAGAGATGACCCATTGCATGAAGTCCCAGAGGAGGCAGGTGAAAAAACAAGATGAAATTGGGAGCAGAAGGAAAATGGAAAGAGTGCAAATGGAAATTCAGGTTGGTTTGGATTGCAAGAAGTTGAAGCAGCTTCTTTTCTTTTGGACGGAGAAGAGAGGCAAGCAAGTCACAATCCAGAGAAGTAATGAGAAAAGTTTTCCCAGCATGGGAGAGAAGGGGAAAGTAAGATATTGAAAGTAACGTAGCTTTATGGACCATGTTAAACCTAATAAGTCAGGCGATCATTCCATTTTACAATGACTGCCTCTATAATTGAAAACAAAATTGTTTGCTAGGTATAAGGCTCTACCAGGCACTATAAAGATAGGAAGATGAGTAAAACCCAGACCCTGTGTAAGGAAGCTAAAGGTATAGATCTATACATTGGTTGGAGTAGCCTTTCTTGTTTTCATCACAGCAGTGGCAGAGGAGGAAGGTCCCATTCCTGACACTGTTTCTCTGAGCTGTTAGATCCAGGGTGTGTCACGCACTGTCTGGGAATTATATGAGGCTGAGTCACTTGAATGTTCAGAGAGTCGACAGGCAGAAACAGACAATAACATCATGCAATCTAAAGGTTAATGACCATTGGGAGCTCTTGGCATTCTTTGACCGATGGTCTTATACACCAGTTGAATTGTTGGTTGTCTGTTTCCCCCATAAGACTACAAGCTCCATGAGACATGGTCTTTGTCTCATGAGCTACTGAATGCCCCACACTTAAAAGGGCCACTGGGTAAATCTTTATTAATAATGAACAAATACATGTGAAGTGTATAGAAGCTATGGTTTATTGAGTCCTTTTTGTCTTAAAGAATGACCCTAAATGAAACCAAAGAAATGTCCTGCTTATCTTCTTTGTGGTTCTCCTACCAGTAAGTAGAAGCATTAGAAACCTTTATGTTGTATTCCTCCTTAGGATTCAGTCCTGATGGAGACCGAGGAGCCAGAGCATGAAGTCTCTACCTCCACCGCTGGAATAAAAGAATTTGGAGTTGTCCCAGAAACTATCATGAGGAGCAGGCAGATTCCTGCCCTGGAGCCTGAAGTTCAAGACCAGGGCCCATCCTTTAATTGGACAGAGGAACACAGACTCTTGGAGACTCAGCCAAAAGAATTAAGGGACATGAGTGACTGTGAAACTGAGAGTGTGTCCTTTTTCCCCACAGGCGAATGTGCCCTTTTCCCCCAAATCAGCCAGGTAGATCTTCTGGCGGAGGTTCATGACACTCCAGAATACCAGGAGTCAAAATGCCAGATCCTGGCAGACAGCGGAGCAAGGACAGTAGATCCTCCAGAGCCCGCAGCCTTCCCTGTCCAGGGTGAAAGACTGGACACAGCCTGCCTATCCAGAGTGGAGGTAGAACTTCTGCCAGAACTCACCTCCTTGATACTGGGAATGGAACAAACAAATGAGAAGGAGAAAGAGGAAGCCTGTCCAGCCCCCTCTGCTCAGACTGGATGTTGGCCTCCCTGTGAAGTGCATCCTATAGAAACCAGTCAGACCAAGGATTCTGCAACTGGAGCTGGCAGCCAGGGGGAAGAGCTGCAGTTGAAAGATGCACAGAAAAGTCAAGGGCAAGAAGGAGTGCTACATCCTGAGGAAGCCCAAGAGCTAGGGGAACAGAAACAGCAGCAAGGGGGACCTCAGGGGGAAGGAACTGTAGGGGAGGGTGTTTGCTCTGATGGGCTTTGGCAGGAACAAGAACAGATAGCAGCACCACCTAATGATCCAGAGGGAGAACAGAGACCACAACAGGAACAGCTACGAGATGGTACTGTGCTTGGAAGACAAGGAGAGGGAGAGAATGGGGAATTAGAGGGTCTGAATTGTGAGTGTGTTCCAGAGAACACGGAGAGAAAAGCCCAGCATCAGGGAGGTCCAGAAGAGGAATTACAGAAGGACTGGGTGTTTCAGGGGCCAGAGGAATATTGGATGACCTCTCAGTCCACAGAGAATCAAAGCTTAGCAGAAAAGTCAGAGAAATTACCCAGAAAGCAAGTAGATGAAGGTGTGAGGGGGGAAATGAGGCCAATGGAGGGTCAGGAGGAAGAGGTGGTATTGAGAGGGGAGGAGCCAGATAATCCAGATGGGCATGGGCTGGGGGTAGTGGAGGAAGGACAGAAAGCAGAAGAGGAGGAAGAATATCATGGTCCTTCTACACTGGCTGGGGCAGCCCCTGAGGTCCCTTTTTCCTGTGACTCATTTCCAGAAGTCTCTTGTCCCGTGACTCAGATTCCTGGTACTCAATTGGAATCCAGGGCTGGAGAACTGTTCCCCAGAGCTTTGGCTTCTACACCGGAGCCTACACGATGGTACCCCCAGCCCACGTCTCAACCTGATACTTTTCCTGCTGGGGAGTCGCTTAACAACAACATAGTTCTTAGTAGTCAGCCAGAAGAATCTGAACTGAGGACAGAGATAATGTCCAGTCAAGGGACTGAGGTAGTCTCTGCTAATACACCACCTCCAAGAATACCAGATTCAACACTCAGTCCTGCTGAAGACTCCCCCAGCACAACTGCCTTGTCCTTTGCCAGCCCTCCAGTTATCCTCCCAGGGAAACAGAGCCGGAGACTGGTCTCAACTGATAATCTACCTGCCTTTGGGGCACTTGACCCTCACACAGCTGCTGTCCACAGCTACGCCCCTGCAGAGGTCAACAAGGACCCATGTGGTAGCTCCAGCGGGGCCAGCCCTCACAGTGCCCTGGTCAGCTGCACTGGGACCATCCAGCACCTTAGGAGCAACTCTTTCCCGGGTTCTCACAGGACAGAGCAGACACCAGACCTGGTGGGAATGTCACTTTCTTTCTCTCATTCAGAGTTACCCCAGAGACCCCCTAAACCTGCCATCTATGGTTCTGTGATGCCCAGAAGGGACAGGAGAAGTGGTCGGGACTGCAGGATCATTTCACAATCCCCTCCTGCACTATCTGCTCTGAGGCAGGGCTCTCAAGAACTTACTTCAAATGCAGAGGGGACCAGCATTCCCCAAGGCAGCCATCCATGGGACTCCCCCCAGGATTTGGTCTTTGCCAAAGGAGTTCCTGCCTATGGCTCTTCACCACCCACTGTCTCTATGGACATGAGGATCTGTGAGCCTCTGCCTCCTCCTCCCCCAGAGAAGAAACATCCTCGCCTTCCCTTGGTGGAGAAGGACGGTCATCCTCCTGCAGTGGTCCCCACACTGAAGCAGTGGAGCCATCCTCCTCCATTGCCCCTAAGTGAAGAACTACATGGTCCCCCAAAAGGCCCCCTTCCCCAAGTTCCTGACCCCACTGTGGCAAGACAGCACCGACCTCTGCCATCTACTCCAGACAGCTCCCATCACACTCAGACTTCCTCCTCCAGGTTCAGATACAACAAACCATTGCCCCCAACTCCTAATTTGTCACAACCACACCCTGCTCCCCTTTCTTCTTCCAGTATCTCAAGGACCTATAGGCCTCTACCTCCTGTCCCCATCACAAATCCTTCCACTGAACCACCACCCTTACCACCAAAGACCAGGAGCAGGAGCACTCAAGGAGGACTTACAAATTCAGGGAGCCACGGCAAACCTAGACCTGCTGGTCAAGACTGGACAGTCTCTGCTCCCACCCCTGCTGGACGTACCTCCTGGCCCCCAGCCACAGGCCGACAAACAGAGTCTTTGACTTCTACCAATAGGAGTAAGAGTGAAGTATCCCATGGGATGGCTTTTAGCAACATGACACACTTTCTGTGTCCCTCTTCCCCTACCATTCCCTGGAATCCTGAGTTCCAGGGACCCAACACTAAGAATGAATCAAGACTTTCAGAAGAATCTGAGGCCCCTACAAGAGGACCATTGAGAAGATCACCACCTCAGCAGGGGGGCAGTGGCCTGAGAAGGTCTGCTCTGGGTCCATCGAGGCAGTTAGAAAAGTCCAGCCATCCTCAGCTGGAGAAGGCCTCCAGCTGGCCGCACAGGCGGGACCCAGGGAGACCCCTGGAGGCTAGCACTGAGCATGTTGTGCACCCCAGTGAGGAGCCCAGCAAGCACAAGAGCTGGAACCGACAAGGCCTGCGCAGGCCTTCCATTCTACCTGACAGCTCTTCTGGTAAGCAGGGGTGAGGACCGCGGTGACACCAGTGTTGGCAAACCCTTTCCAACTTTTCTCATCTTATCCCACCTCCTGTGCCCAGTGTGCTATCTGTTCCCTCTGCAGCTTCAGGCATAGACAAACCTGCCCTCAACACAGCAGCCCGTGGGCACCTGCTGAGCTCCTAAGGGTGCTGTTCCCTCCTCCTCTACTTCTCCAGGTCCCAGTCAGCCAGGACCTTCTTTGGATGACACTTTTGTCCCGGTGTTGTCTTGGCTGTCTTTTGAGTTCCCACACCCCTTGCTGCCCTCCCTGGATTCAAGAAGGCATCTGTTACTGCTCAATTCCCACTCTTGATAAGACAGATGGGGACATAGCTGGTATTTCTCTCCCCTAGAATGCTTGATGCTTTGCTGTTTTCTTTCCTAGGGTCCCAGGAGAGCTTTCTTTCTCTCTTCTGAATACCTGTGTCTTCTTTCCTACGTCTTTCCTTCTTCACTTTCTCTAAGTGTACCTCTGAAATCTCAGCTATGTCACTTATTCCCATTTTCAGATTCAAGAAGTCAAACTATGGGAAAAGTCTTCAGTCCCTCAGACACTGTGGTTTTTCGGTGAGTTAACTACCTCGAAAGAGACACCTATAATATATTTACTTTGGAGACTAAGGTCTCCTGATTAGCATTTTAGTTGTGAGGGTTTTAGAACCTGGAAATGCTCATGTCGTTCTCTTCTGGGAGTAAAGAGGAGAAGAAATCCACACCAGGATTCCAGCAGAGGGAGATTTTCCAGTACCTCTCCAGTTCTGTTGGCTGAGTCTGAGTCAGCCATCCTTCTTAGGCCATGAACTAATCCCATGTAAAAGCTCTGCATAAATCCCTCAAATCTCCAGACTACCCCACTGTGGGTCAGGCTGCAACTCTATTGCTCTCCAAGGGGTTTGGTTCTGACATCCCAGCACCACATAAGAGGTCAGAGATGTCCTCATCTCCAGCCACCGGGGGGTCCTCTGCATCATGGCCAGTAAGACTCCAGAGCCTTCCTTCCTCTGCAGGGAAAAGAAGCCAAAAGAAGGGACAGGAAACTTTTCAAGACGCTGCTCTAAGCTCATCAACTCCTGTGAGTACCTTGGAGCAGATCTGTAGGGCCAGGAGTGTGTTCTGCCCTGAGGACCACCAGTAGAGGGTGGTGATGTCCACTGCAGAGAGGACTTTCAGGAGGTCAGTCAGCAGTGGGCAGCTTCTGCCTGTTTCTTGAGTCTCCACTTACTTTCTCTTTTCCCCACGTCTCCTCCCTCTCCCACACATCCTTGCCCCTGTAGCCCAGTTGCTTTACCAGGAGTACAGTGATGTTGTTCTGAACAAGGAGATTCAGAGTCAGCAGCGTCTGGACAGTGTGGCAGAGACCTCTGGCCTGGCCTCCCCCAGGCAACCACGGAAGGCCCTGGTGTCCTCGGAGTCCTACTTACAGCGCCTCTCCATGGCCTCCAGTGGCTCCCTCTGGCAGGAAATCCCTGTGGTACGGAATAGCACTGTGCTGCTCTCCATGACCCATGAAGACCAAAAGCTGCAAGAGGTATGAAGTAGAGGAGGGCACAAAGCAAAGACTGTAAAGGCACATTGGCTGCCTTTCTGTCCTGCTCATCACCGAGCGTGGCCTGTGCCTACCCCACACTTGGTCCTTGGTACGCCATACCATTCTGAGTACTGTGCCTTGTGATGCTCTAAACATCACCACTGCCACTCTGCCCTGTGTCCTCATGCCATGGACTCTACTTTCACCTGGTTCTGGTTTGGGTCATGCAGAGCCCAGGCTTGGCTCTAAGTTTGTTGGGAAGAGGATGAAACACAGTTCTTCCATGCTGCTTCAGGAATTCCCTCTTCCACTAGAGTTGCAGACTTCATAAAAGTTTTACTCCTAAACCAAGAAACATCATATTGGGCTTTCTATTGAGTATCTTAGAAAGGCACCAGGAGGCTGACACATTCATCTCTCCAGGGATTTAGAATGCCTTTACTCCATAATCACCCCCAAGAGTAAGACAGTAGTAGAGGCTGTGTGTCTCATTGAAAGGTATTACCATTAATAAGATTTCCATGGAGATCTTTTGTTACTCTCAAGTTTGTCTGAAATTTGGTTGGAACCTTTCATCCCAGGAAGAAATTAATAGCCAGTAGACTAAAGTAATAAATGACTTCAATGAGAACCCATTTTAATATTTGCAGGTTAGCTTTAGCCATATTGCTTGGTTTTTCAAAGCTGGTATTTCCTTATTTGTCAAAATAGGATGCAAAGATTTCCTGAACAAATTAAAGAAGTGGCTGACGCATAGTAATCACTCAAGAGATGTCAACTATTTTAACTTTAAGTGTTGCAGACCTGGTTTTGAATTATAGCTTCATCATGTACTATTAGCTGTATAACCTTAGGCATATTATACAACTTCCCACATATCAGTTTGCTTACCTACCAGTTAAATATAAAAAATGTCTACTTTTCAGGGTTAGTTTATAGCTTGAATGAATTCACACATTTATATTAACAAAGTGTCTGGTACATAGTTTGGTAAGTACTAGCATCATATTCTTTGCCTTTCAGAATCGGGGAGGATTAACAGTTCAGCCATAAGGACTTGGGTATAAACAGACACATATATTTCAGGCTTTTCAAGGCTCGGACTTGAGGGCTCTGTTTTAACTGCAATTTTTAGAGCAACTGGAAGATGATTAGAAAAATCACTAATCTCTCCCATATTTAAGAATCACCCAACGGGGAGGTCACGTGAACTGGAGCTGTGTGTCCCCAATTCCAGCATACTACGAGGTCCTGTTCCAGCCCTAGAGTCACACTGATGAAGGGAGAATCCTCCAAAACTTATGCCTACATTTTCATTTCATGAAACAGCACCTCTGGGGTCTACACAGAACTTTCATCAGTCCTCTTTCGAGTATCACAAGGCAGAGGTACTACATCCACATGAAAAGATGGGGAAACTGAGGTTCAGAGAGGTTGAACAAGGATGTCATACAGTCAGTGAACAGTGAGAAAATGAGAAGAACCTGGAGTGTCCCGTTCAGGGTTAGGCCTGGGAAGGTCATCGAGCCATGTCATTGACCGTCCAGGTGACCACCACAGTCTTTGTTTTTGCTCTTTTTCTATCCAAGGGTGTTATCTGGAAGCCACATGCTTGGATGGAAAACAAAGAGGAGCTCTGAGTCATGATCATGAGTCATTGCGCCCCCTGCTGGAATCTCTAAAGAAATTTTCAAATTCTAGGTGTTTTCCTTACACCATAACTGAACCACTTTGACTCAAATAACATACTTCTTTCCATTTCTCCTCAAACCCCAGCTCCAGCTTTCACCCTTTTACTCAAGTCGGAAGTCAGCTCATTGACTTTGACTCTCTGTCCTCTTTCATGCCCCGTGTTGAGAAAATAACAAGCCCTTTGAAATCTACCTCTTAATAATAATATCTTCACCCATATAACTATTCAGGCCTTGATTTCTCATCTTAAATGATCACATTTCCTAACGGTTCTCTCCTACATAATCTTTGGGCCATATTGTGTTTAGAAATATACTTATAAAGACAAAATCAAGTTATATCCTTAATGAAATATTTTCATACATCCTTCCACGATTTTGAGAACAAACTGTTGTATGTACATTGTTTACTAATTCTCCATTCCTCACTGACATTTGCCTTTTCAGCGTCAACTCTGGATACTTGAGTAGACATGATTCTAAAATTGTATTTATTTAGGTCTCTTTGGTTTGTTTGTTTTAGTGGTTATTTTGTCTGTTTATTTTTGCAGTGATGGAGATACAGTACCATGTCCCCAAACTTTAGGATTTCTTTGCTTAAAATGTATTTTCTGTGTATATTTAAGCTTTGCACAGTGGTGTTATACGGTATACCTAGATAGTAAAAAGGTTATATGGTGAAGCAAATTAATATGTCCAGCATCTCCTATAGTTGTCTATTTTGTGGGGTGCATGTGCATGTGTGTGTATGTGTGTGATTTAAGTTTCATGAAAGCACATTGTTCTTGTACATCTTTGGGAGCTTATATGTCCTTCAAACCCTAGATTAAATCTTATGTACATAAATACTCATCTCCTCCCAGATGAAGATAGGATTTACTGTGACAGCAAGCCATAAAAGGATCTTGCTTGTTCAGTGCTCTGCCCCTAAAGTTTTATTCAGTGGTTAGTATGTAGTAGGGAGGTAGTAATCTTCCTCCTCTCCAACTTCCTAGGCCAAATTTGAGCTGATCGTGTCAGAGGCTTCATACCTGCGCAGTCTACACGTAGCTGTGGATCATTTCCAACTTTCCACCCAGCTTCGGGCCACGCTCTCCAACCAGGAGTACCAGTGGCTCTTCTCTCGTCTACAGGATGTGCGAGATGTCAGCACCATGTGAGACCATCTTTCTCCCGAGGGCCCCTCACTCGCCTTCCTGTCGTTAGTCACTAACTCTTCTTTAGTTGGGCTCTTTCCCTCTTAGAAACCTCCCCATTACCATCATCTCAGGATGAAATTGGGTCTCCACTACTTCCGCTGTTCCCAGTAGCTACAAGAGCAAGAAAAGGAGAGTTGAGGGTACATAGATTCATTAATAGGTAAATAAATTAATGGGAAATGGCTTGAGGTTTTAGCTGTACCATGGGAATTCACTGCATTGGAGATGATGTGTAGAAATCACATAAATATTAGAAAGCCATAGTAGGATAAAAGAAGATCAAGAAATACAGTATTATAATGTTAAATAAGGAGCACATTTGTGACAGTTTTGGTGAGAACTAGCACATAGCCAGGGCACAGATCTCAGGAGAATCAATAGAAATTACTGATTCATGGAAAGTCATAAGCTCAAGGTAAAGCAGGGGCAGCCAACTGCTAAGCTGGGGTCCAGAAGTCTCATGAGACCTTTTTAAATATTACACAGGTTCCTTTCAGATCTAGAAGAGAACTTCGAGAACAACATCTTTTCCTTCCAAGTGTGTGATGTGGTCCTGAACCATGCTTCAGACTTCCGCCGGGTCTACCTGCCCTATGTCACCAACCAGACCTATCAGGAACGCACCTTCCAGAGCCTGCTGTGAGTCTACCCCCACTCAGTCCCCCAGTAGGACCTGCAGTGACCCTGCAACAGTTCCCAGCGACAGTGCTGTCCCAGGGGTTCATGTTTTTGTGCCTGCTGTGTGCTCTTAAGTACCAGCCTGCCCTTCGGATCAGAGTCTCTTAGCAACGCATCTGGGCTTCCCATACACTGATTCTCAACATAGTTTTTCCTAACCCTAGACATTCCCCGTGCCTTTCTGAGTCCCCATTACTCCGTACATCCCTCCTCACCCCTGGATCAATGTCCATGCAGGAACAGCAATAGCAGTTTCCGAGAGGTCTTGGAGAAGCTGGAAAGTGACCCCATCTGCCAGCGCCTTTCCCTCAAGTCTTTTCTGATTCTGCCTTTCCAGCGAATCACCCGCCTCAAGCTGCTGCTACAGGTATGGGTGGTCCTTCCTTCACTGTCTCCTTTAACTCAAAGGGATGATTTTAGAAGCTGTAGGCTAAACTGTTGTCTGTTCTTTTGCCTGCGTAAGATGTAGACAGTCTTCCCCTCTGCCCGCACTCTCTCTCAGAAATATTTGCTACGAGATTATTACCCTGCGTTTCTCCGTTAACCAACTCCTGATTTTCTCTTCTCATGTGTATATTTCTTTCTCCCTTCTGGTTCCTGCCCACTGTTTATTCTCTAGAACATTCTGAAGAGGACGCAGCCTGGCTCCTCAGAGGAAGCAGAAGCCACAAAGGCCCACCATGTGCTGGAAGAGGTAGGCAGCCATCCATGGTGGCCCTCTGATTGTTCTTTACAGACGCACAATTCCTAGGAACATGGGAGAGCTCAGCCACCTCCCCATAACCACCAAACCTCCAAGCATGTGCAATCCAAAGCCTTCTCGGGGCAGAGCATGCCGGGAGCTGTGCTCTTACTGCAATCATCCCTTCCCTCAGAAATGTTCTGCCAGGTCATCCAAAGTGTACAAGAGTCCTAGGACCTCTGCCTTCACTGTGGTGGCAAAGGATGAGGCTGTCACAACCTGCTTCCACAATGTCTTCAGGGGCTTCAAGGGCCAAATGCTCTAACACATACCCTTCCCTCACTCTGCCCACCCCTCAGCTGATCCGAGACTGTAATAACAATGTCCAGAGGATGCGGCGGACAGAGGAGCTGATCTACCTGAGCCAGAAGATTGAGTTTGAGTGCAAAGTGAGTGAGTTCCTCCCTCTCCACTCTGCTGTGGGTCTCTTGTGCCTGCACTAGGGAGCACCCTCTCGCATAGAACCATCCTGCTCCTGCTGTCCCTGTCCTCCAGCTGTCCTCTCTTTCCTCTGTTCTACTTCTGAGTTGTACAAATTTAAATACTGACTTCAGTCTTTATAACATGCTGTTGAAGCCAGGCATGGTGGTAATCCTAGCATGTAGGAGGCTGAGGCAGGAGAATTACTGCAAGTTTGAGGCCAGCCTGGGATATATAATGAGTTCAAGACCAGCTTGAACCACATAGCAAAACCTTATTCTGACCAAAAAAAAAAAAAAGATATTGTTGAGTGAAGAACTGTGTGTACGTACATATCTCCTTGTGCGTATGCAAGAAAACCTGAAAGGAGAATTCTTCAGTATAAGCCTGAGAAACCTTTTATAGTTCATCAGGTCTCCTAATCTATCTAAATCAACATGGTTCAAATTTCCAAAATTTCTCATCCGGACATAAATATATATTTCACATTCAAATTCTAACTCAGGACACACATCATCTTTGCCTTCCCAGAAGAGAAGAAAAAAACCCATACCTAAAATACTAGCTGTGGTCCAATACCCTCATCTTTGTCCAAATCCCAGCTCTAAGCCAGCCCCACTTCGTTCTTGTGTTAACCTCAGCCCACCCCGGCCGATTCTGACTCTTCCTCTCCTGTTTCTGGTTATGATCAAGGAGGCAGCAGACGGCAGAACTCCCCCTAACCCTTTCACTTCTAAGACACATCCTGCTGTTTCCTGCTTGTTCCTCTTGGACTCTTCCAGCTCCTCTTCAGGTCAGGTTCCTGCTTTCCCACATGGTCACTGTCCTGGTTGGACGTAGCCTCTGTCTGTTTGCCTGAGTGTGTAAACAGGGGACCTGGAAACCAGGGAACAGAACAGATAGAAGTTTCAGAGGGGAACAATCCAAGCAGGGGGGGAGGTTCTGAGCAAGCGGGAACACATTTAGGAGATTTGGTTGAGCAGAGTAGGAAGCGCCTTTGTATCTCGTCAGTGACATGGGCTTCTTTTTCCCCTCTCTATAGATATTCCCACTCATTTCACAGTCTCGCTGGCTAGTGAAGAGCGGAGAGCTGACCGCACTGGAGTTCAGTGTCTCTCCAGGACTGCGGAGGAAGCTGAACACGCGACCAGTTCATCTGCATCTCTTCAATGACTGTCTGTTGCTGTCACGGCCCCGAGAGTCAGTAGCTGGAATGGGACTGGGCGCCCAGGGACCAAAAGGGGTCTGGGAGACACAGGAAGAAATAGGCTAGAAAGGACAGAGAAGAGTCCTGTTCTCAGAAAGAGGCAGGGGGAAAGCCCAAGGCAAAAAGCAGGAATTCTACCAGCTTATGTCATGAGATCATATTGTGGGGCCTGTATTATGTTACAGGCATAGGACAGAAATGCAGCATGAGCCTATTACAGTCCCAGATTAACCTGTTTGTGGCTCCCTTGGGCTCAGCCTACTAGCTCAAAATTATTTGGCTAATTTCAGATCTTAACTAGAAAAGAATTAGAATCCTGGCCCTTAGGACTTCAGAAAATTTTATTGGTTTTTTCAGTTAAACTTACTAAAATGGTAAGGTGTGTGATACACTACACCAGTGACCACTGGACCTAGAACTACCGTCCTGGAGCAAGGTGGGATGGTCTGGCGGATTTTATGGGATTCACAAACTACAGACTCTTAAGGGCTTGGAGTTCGAATTCAGGAATTTGAGGAGGGGTGAACTACAGATACGTAGGTTCAGCTTGAAAAAAACCTGTGTTTTGCAGGGGAAGCCGCTTCCTGGTATTTGACCACGCTCCGTTCTCCTCCATCCGAGGGGAGAAGTGTGAAATGAAGCTACACGGGCCACACAAAAACCTCTTTCGCCTCTTCCTGCGACACAACGCACAGGGTACACAGGCTGAGTTCCTGCTCGGCACGGACACCCAGTGAGTCGGGGATGGATGTCAGAGGTGTTGGAAGTCAGTCGCCTGGGAAAGAAGTGGAGGGTCGCAGATGGGAGAGGGCTTAGCTCCTTCCCTCAGAAACACGAGGCCTGTGAGACACAACAGTGCAGTGGTCTGGTATGGTTGAGCACAAGTTCACACATGAGCAAGATGGGCACTGCTGCGTGTGCTTTCTTTCTTCCCTGGTCAGTCCTCTGTTGAGCAGAGCCCGATAATGTTGAGAAATCTTATTTGTTCATCCTCTCAATGAGAATAATAAACTAGTTTTTTTTGCATGTCCATTCATTTTTAAGATAATAATACCTATGAAACAGTGCAGGATGCCTACAACAATGAACATTGAAAACACTGTTATTGCTGTTAGGAAGATTTTAGAAGAGTCTTTCTGTAAAAGTGTAACATAGCTAGAAATCCGAGGTTCTCAAGCTATCGACACTTTTTCCCTTAGGAGACTACACTCAGGAATTACATGTAGGAATCTGTAATATCTGTCTGCGTCTGTACCTACAAAACAGAGAGGCTAGTACAGGGGTTTGTACAATAAGCCAAATAATCAGGCAGAGATTTATGCAGTTCATAGATGCTAAGATAATGAAAAATCTTCAAATAATTACAAATTGTGCTAGGAGTACAGTGTGTCAAAACGACAAAGCAGTAGTAGGTCTTTTTCTCTAATTATTGTCAGAATAATTTTCATCTTAAAGATATTTGATTAAAGGAAGGTAGGAAAAGGAGTGTCTATAATTATGCAAAGTGATAGAAGGAATGTAGACTTCATTAAACATTTTGCTCACATAATTTTCAAAATAGAAAATCTCTATAAGAATAATTGACTTAAAAAAAAGAATAATTGAATTTATGCCTTCCCTTAGAAGATATTAGGAGTTATTAACAGTCTGGGAAAAGAAGGGGGGAAAATAAAGCATAACAAGAAACATCAACCTGTTATTCAAGGTTGTATATTTCCAAGCAAGCAGGATTCCACTGATATTTTGTCATAGAGGTTGTTGAAAAAGTTCCTCCCCATCCATTTGCCTTCCCCATCCTTGACTTCTCTTACGATCTCAGGCTGTAACTTTTGTTTTCACAGGAGTGAAAAACTTCGATGGATCTCGGCCTTGTCCATGCCGAGAGAGGAATTGGACCTGCTGGAGTGTTACGGTACGAGGGAGTCTAAGAACAGGTGGAGAAAACTTGCAAATGCAGAGGCCTCCTGTGGACACTGGGATTTAGTGTGCTGAGGAGAACTCCAGCTTCCATTTACTGCTTTTCCTCACATGTCCAGGGGGAAGATGGCCAGTGGAGCTTTAACACCTGCTTAAAACCGCTCTCTGCCTTACATCTTTACTCACATCTGCTTCCTGCCTTAGGCAGTAGCTTGCTGTTTCTGAAATATTTGTCCCTTAGGCCTATCCTGCTATGCTATTGCCTGGATTTTACTTACTTGAAGGTGTTAGGGAAGTGGAGAGAGACAGAAAGTCTGCAGTGCAAGTTCCAGGAAGATGATAGCGGGAGATTTGTCCTGGCCACACCCCTTTGTATAAGGGCCAGAAGGGTATTTACTCGAAGCACCTGGGGGCAGCCCCAGGCTTGCTCACTTTAAAATCTGTATGCATTCATTCAGAGTTGGAATTCTGGTCTCCTCTCACTCCTTGTCCTCGAAGGACTTCCAGAGGAAAAATATATTCAAAGGAAACATTGCACCATAAGTGGCTGAAAAGAACAAATGAATCCAAAGGACTTTGGTAGAGTCACCCAGAAATGCTTTGGATTTTGCTACCTTGAGCTTCAGATCTATAGAGATTTTGCCTGGTTCACAAAAATATAGAAACAGAAAACCAGAATGGCCATGAGTCATTTTGACCAGCCTTTCTCACTGATTATGTTGATCAGTTCCAGATGAGGAAACTGAAGCTAAAGAAGATTGGGTGGGTTCTTAGCTAAGGTAGCCCTGGAATTCTTCTGGGGGAGTTTTCTCCACTTTCGCATCTGGCACTGTAAGGAAGATTAAGAATGAGTCACAGACTCTGATTTTACTATCTAGTTGGAGAAGCAATGCATGCACGGAACAGACAAGGGTTCCATGGTTTCTCACCAACGTTTTTAAGGAGTTCAAAATCCACAGGTGATGGAAGGATCAGGGAATGTGACTATTGGTTTTCGGCTGATTCTCAAATGTTTGTAATAATGAGAAATTCACTAATGGTGTCACAACATATTTCTTCCCCAGAAAGGCAGAATTTTTGGTCTATTTCAATTCTGGTATTTCTATGTTTCCATCAACCCTTTTGGCTTCTGGCAGATGCTTTTTCCAACTGCCTCTCTTATCTCAAAGCCCATATAGTCCTTATCTTTATCTCAGATCCTCCCAAGCTTTCTCCTTGGAATTCCTGGTCCATGCTCTGGTCATCTGCGTCCCCTAATGTCTCTTCTCCCTTCTCTTCCAAAGACTCCCAACAAGTCCAGTGCCTTCGAGCTTACATGCCTCGAGAGAATGATGAGCTGGCTCTGGAGAAGGCTGACGTGGTCATGGTGACTCAGCAAAGCAGCGATGGTAAGAGGGACAACCCATGAGACCAGCATTGTAGGCAAGAAATAGTTCCCCAGGAGTGCTGTTAACACAACACCACAAACTGGGTGGTTATAACATAAATTTATTCTCTTACAGCTCTGGAAGCAGGCACTCCAAAATCAAGGCATTGACAAACCTCTCACTTGCCTTACCTTTTCCAGTCTCATATCCCCAAGCATTCCTTGATTTGTTGGAATATAATCCTAATCTCTGTTTTTGTTGTGACTTGTTTCCTTTTGTGTCCACATTTCCCTCTTTCTCTAAGAACACTAGTTATCATTGGATCAATATTGGATTTATGACTACTCCAGTATAATCTCAACTTAACTTTTTTAATTGCATCTGTGTTTTCCTCTTTCCCAAGTAAGTTGACATTTTGAGATACCAGAGAAGAGGACACCAGCATATATTTGATGGGATATAGTTGAACTTGTAACAGTGGGCAAGGCTCAGGAAGGGGCAGCTGTAGGCTTTCGCAGGTCCAGAGTAGCTGTACTTACTACAAGGGAATTGGGCTTCTCACCCTGGGGTTTGCCAGTTCTTTCAGCTTTAGAGTATGGAAACGCTTCCAGGAAAGAGGCCAGGGAACTTATCATGAGCCTTTTCCAGGTGATTGTTCTTTCTACTCCTTCTACCCACAGGCTGGCTGGAGGGCCTAAGACTCTCAGATGGGGAGCGGGGCTGGTTCCCTTTGCAACATGTGGAGTTCATTTCTAACCCAGAGGCCCGTAAACGGAACCTAAAGGAAGCCCATCGAGTCAAGACTGCCAGGCTGCAGCTGGTGGAACAGCAAGCCTAGCTGCTAAGCCCTTGAGCTTACAAACAAGCTGCTCCTGGAGATGACTGGCCCGGAATCTTGCTGCAGAGACCTTCTCTGGACCAAGAACTAAGCCTTCTGAAAGCCCAAGGACTAAGTCAGCTGACCCAGAGAGTCATTCTTGGCCTCCTTTTGGGTGCTGTGGGCTTGGTGGGGAATGTTATGGGTCTACACACTGGACTCTAGATCTTTTCTTTTTCATTGGAAAAGTAACTATGGGCCCCAAGCCAGGGAAATTTACTTCTATGATAGTATAGTATGTAAACAGCCTCTGCTCCCAGAGTACAAATTCAAAGCTGGCCAAACTTTAGTCCTAGCCGTATGTTCAGAAGAATCTGACCTCACTCCACTGAAGGGAGATGTTTAAGGGGGATGAAGACATCAAATGAGGTCATCCCAATGACCTATAAGGTATCTTAAAACCCAAGAGATGCTCCACAATTTCTGGTGGGAACTCAGTGTGTGTGTCTCTGAGATCTGTGTTTCTTGGACATGTGAGGGTGACAGTCTCTCACTCTAATAAACTTGGCAATTACCAAGTGTATTTTTCTCATTTTCTTCAGTACTGACCAGGTTTCAGAACCATGAATGCCTAGGGCTTCCAGAATGTTACTTCAGGGTGTCATGAAAGGCCAAAGTAGTGCATAGGATATGGTAGCAGCTCACTCCAGCTCTATAATGTTGAGAATTAGGACTCCAGAGGTTGTAGAAGGAATTAATGGGTAATGTAAAGTCACTCAGCTCTTTCCTACCCATAAGGTAGTGTGTATAGCTTTGTTAAGTCCTACTCAGACCATTCATGACCTTCTATTCCAACTTTAATTATTATGAAGATGTCTTCTGAGGTGCTGTATCTTCTTTGTGAAAGGCAGTATGGTGTAATGGAAAGACTTGTAGAGTTCAAGTCATTAGGCCTAAGCTCCAGTTCCCTCAGTATCTTGACTCAAACTCTGCTTGTCTCTTCCATTAAACAAAAGGTTCAGACTAAGCAAACTACAAAGCTCTATCCAACTCTGTCTCCTTTGTCTTAAGACTTTCAGTTCAAAATTTTGCTTAATTTTTTCTCATGCAGAACTCTCTTATAACAATAACATAATATCTGTGATGGGTCTACAGCTTAGCGGCACAGTGCTTGCCTGGCAAGCTGGCGTCCCAAGTTCAGTTCTTGATACCAAACACACACACGCACACACACACACATACACACACAAAAAATAATACCTTGTGATTGTCTTTCAAACTGGATCATGGTATTTCCCCCTTGAACATTCTACTCCTTTATTTTATGGTGAGGAGAACTCAAAACTAGACTTGTGTTGCAGTTTTATTGAAAGGTAAGACTAATATTCTAAAATTTGTTCTATGCCCAGGTAATGATATGATGTGACAGTGTCACTTTTGATAACAAACTTTCCAGTCCATTCTAAACTATAAAAGTTATCTTGCTTAATTTTTCTAAAAAACTATCCTTATAGTAATTTTAAGTGGGGATTAATATTTTATCTGAGTCAGAATGACTGCTAAGATAACCTAAATTAAGGATTGGCTCTAGAGAAGTTTGAGATTTTTCACAATTTTTTTTGATAGTGGGAATTGAACTCATGACCTTACGCTTACCAGACAAGCACTTGAGCCACTGAGCTAAATCCCCAGCCCTATTTTTCACACTTTTTATAAAACCATATTTTTAAAAATGGCAATACATATATGCACATAATATACACAGTGTGCTTATATGTGTATTAATATATAAACTCATTAAACTACTAGTAACTAATAGTAACATACTAATAGCTCTAATATGATCTGAATTACTCATGTGAATCAGCCATTGAATTCTAGCCATATGCTGAAAATCATACCTGACCTTATGTTTTCTAGGTAAATTCTCCATTAGTTGCTCACAGAGGCAAAATGCCAATTCCTGATTGATACATGTGCAAGTAATTTTTTGAATTGGCATGCGGCTTCTTAAAGTGTCAAGTCTATGGTCCTTTGAACCTAAATTCATTAGATTCTTCATCTGTATTCACTTAATTTGATTCTCATTTAATCTGGGAAATGAAGACATTTGACTTCTATCTGTATTTAGGTTCTTGCTTAAAAAAGAGAAAAATCTACACATGAGTGATCTCTCCTCAGTTGGATAAATTTTTGAGTTTGGGATGTTGAACCTAATAGATCCATTGAGTGTCCTTCTTTCTGATTTCCAGAATTCAGCTCCTTGATGTTTTAATTGTGACTGGCATGATTGGCCTGGAAAAACAGCAGTTGCTTATAAGAAATTAAAAACAACCATTAGCCACCATTTTTTGAACAAATGGCATTTGACACATGTAGGAATGTATAGTGTTGCTTTTTAAAGTAAAATGCACTGGATACTGTCTTCAGGAGATCTCAGCAGTGATCTACTTATAGATACATATGAATGGTAGTATGAGTGAAACTGAAAACCTTGTGAGTGTCTGCTGAATTATTTCCCTTGTGCCTTTGGCCACACTGAATCTACAGGTCATGTTTATGTACTCACCAAGTGCAGAAAACTATTCATTAAAGTTTATTTTTACCAGCAACTTTTACGTAAGGTTAATTATGATCTTAAGACTTGTGTAGTACTTACTATCTTGGTCAGTTATAATGATTTTGAAAAGATCAGCCTATGAGGGATTTTTTTTTCCTTTTGTATCAGTATTGGGTTCCAAACCTAGGGCCCTATGCGTGCTAGGCAAGTGGTCTACCACTAAGCCATACCCCAGCCTGGCATTTTTTTTTTAATTAGCCTCTGGAAATTATTTAAAAGACTAAGTCATTTACATTCACTGGTTTAACTTCTGTGTGCACATATTGGATATACCCCCTGAATGAACTCTTTTTGGATTCCATGTTGATCTATCCACAGTAGTCTGTGCTTTTTAAGTCTTTGGTGGCAGTGCCTTTATTATAAATTCTTTATCTTCATGGAATCAAACTAGAAGCCCACTATTTTGCTGTATTTTCCCTGTACAGACACAATTACTCCTCCCCTACCCACCTCTCCAAGCATATTGTGGAGACTTTGCATGTTTGTACTTGAATTTTTAGACCGCTAGGTAAATATCCTTTGTGGTAGTGACTCGGCTTTATCACTAATTAACAGACTACTGACCCTAGAGTCATATCTGCTGTAAACATGACTCAGGAGCTACATGATCATAGCACTGCAAACCTGGAGTTGACTGTAATCTTCTCAATCTGGAATTAAGTGTGTGGAAGGGCCAAAGGTTACAAGTAAATGAGCTGAAGAGAGAGGGATGTCGAACTCTGTCTGAGTCAAATGAGCTTCTTTAGATTTAGAATCTTCTTCGTGCTTAACAGTCTTTACTCCATTGTTTTCTCTCATTTTCAGTGACAGTTACAGAGTGGAAATTTCCCTGTTTCTTTGCAAGAGCAACCATTCAGTCTGTGATGCCCAGGGAACATGGCAAAATACAAGGAAGCTACAGGCACAGGGAAAATTCAAGGAATGAAGATGAGCAAATGAGGATGTTGATTCTTTCTGGGTGGCCTGTGCACAGGAGTCGGGAGGACAGGAGCTCGGTTGGTCTGCTATAAACTGTTTTTCAGAGTAGTGAGGGTGGGGGTGACTGCTGATCCCTGCTGCTTGATGGATGAGTCATGGGCCTGAGGGCAGAGCTTGCAGGGGGAGGGGCAGGATCTGGCCCACAGAATTCTTCAGAAGCTCCAATAAGCAGATAAATATTTTCCTGGCACTTTACCTGAGCTTTCAGAGGAGCATTTCTAAACAGTGTGGTTGGAAACAAAAGTCTAGCAGGATCCAGTCTGTGCATTGATTAAGGTAAAGATTCTTATTCTGCTTGCAGACCACAGGGCTCCTAAACACCAACTGAGCTTGTAGGGCCAACGCAGCAGAGATGAGACAGTCATCAACCCAGCAAGAGAGCCCTCAGGCCGTCCTACAAACAGTCTCCGGGAGAAAATGAACAGGAAGACAGCAAAGAAAAGGTTGGCCCTGTGTGGGGCTCATCCAACCAGTAGAGATGAACTTCTGGAAACGAGAACATCATTTACTGCTGGAGTTGAAAGAACTCTGAAAGTTCTGTGTCTAACAGCATGCTTAATTGGAGCTTGGACAGGGACGTGATTTGTTTCATGTCACGTAGCCACTGTAGTTGTAGGCTGCAGATATAAATAATTTGTTGGTCACCACTGGAACTCAAGCAAGTGAACTGCTGAGTTTGGGATTATCATAAAAGATGGAAAGTAACTCACTACATGGGCTACAGATGGAAGGAGCAGACTATCCACAGGCAGGATATTGTTGAGAGAGCAGGAGGAGCTGGTGGCCAGACGTGTGGAATCATTAATAAGCTGGGTGTTGGTGATGGAATTGAGCTGGCCAGGGAACAAGGGTGGAGGTGTGGTTTCAAAAGTATTCATTATCCTTGCACAACCAGGCCCTTAAAGAGCTAGGGAGTCCTCTGTGTGTGTGTGTGTGTGTGTGTGTGTGTGTGTGTGTGTGTGTGACAGACAGACAGACAAGGTACATGTTTAGATTTGGGAAAACAAAATACAGAAAGATCCTAGAAGAAGATGGATTTGATACCCAAAAACCATACTGTTAAGAGTTTTTCAGTGCAATAAAGGAGCAGAATATAAAAGTAAAAGTGACCTTTATTCCAAGGACATGGAGAGGAGCCCACAATTGCGAGTGGTTTGGGTTTTCCTCGTCTACCCTGGATATGGGGTATGGGATGTGTGTAACATTTGACCAGGGGTGGTGCTTAGGGTCTGCACTGATGATCCCAAGGAGCCTGGAATTTTCTTTGCGGTGCACACTGGGAAAGGAAAAAGGAAGTTGTAATAGTGGAAGGAGGAAGTGACCGCAGGGTAAACTTCCCCAATTTGGCCCTCCACCACCATAATGTCCTGTAATTTATTCTAGGGCAAAACTCCTTCACAGACTTCCTCCCTGAAATGAATTAACAAATCTTAGAGAAACCAACTGAAAGAGGAATTTTCCAGTTGAGAAACCAAGGGAAACAATTGTATAACCTGTTTTTAAAAAGCATTGATAGTTGTCCTTTTTGAGGTTGTTTTTGTTTGTCTGTTTTGGGACAATAGATTGAACCCAGGGCTTCATGCATGCTGAATGTGCAGTTGACCACTAAGCTCTACACCATCACCACCCCGTTCCCCACGCACACCCCTCCCACCCCTGCTCTTACAGTTGTGCTTTAAATGTGATTAGGGAAACATTTCTTTACAAACATTCAGTTTGTAAAGAAGAGTTACTTAATTTCACCAATTCCAATAATTCATAGTTATAGAAAATAGCAGAAATATCAAACAAAAGTGAACAATGTGTTCTGGTGGGCCTTAATAATGTCGGCTATAGGATTGTATTTTTAGTAGGACACAAGAAGATGGATTGAGGTGAGAGTACAAGACTCAGAGGACGGAATTAGAAGGAAGAGGAATGGCATAAGCAGCAAAGAGGAGAAAGTGCAGAAGAACCGGGAATCTCTGTGGGTAGAAATTC